AGAACACCAGTTATCTAGTCTTGGATACTTCATCTCAGAAGGGATGGCTGCCCATAACCAGCCCCTCTGTGTTCTTTTCCCGTTCTCTGGGTCTGCAAGATCAGGCAGCAGAGCAAGATGCTCAGAGGGGACATTCATCCTTTCCACCTTTCTTTCAAGATATTTTGGTACAGCAGTGCCAATGCATCTATAAAGCTGCTGTGAACCAGCGTGTTTGCGCATCGAATCTATCATGCTATTTGCACGATGGAATGTGAAGACACAGCTCGAAATATTTTTAAGATATGGCCTTTTATCTCTGGAAGCACAAGATAGTATTTGCAGGTTGGCCTCTGGAATGAAATTAGCCTGTCACGTTGCCTGGTTCCTGCAAAACGTGGGCATTTCCATAAGTGGTTCTGAGTCCTTTAATCCTTTTGATCATTTGCACTGTGTATTTTTACACAGGTTCTTTTACTTTGGAGAAATAAAGTAAAGAAACTTAAAGGTGAATTTAGCAAGGGCATCTCTGCACTGTTTGTCAATGCAAATAGATCTTGAATTTGAATGATAGTAGTTTCTCTTAGACACCCAGGAGCCTTTAAACCTCTCCACAAATAATGTCTGTGGCAGTAATTTCTGGAAGTGTTTGCTGGAGAGTAGAAATCTTTCGTGACTGCATATTATTGTAACAAAAGAAGAGCCTACTCCTTTAAAATATTTTTGACAGCCTGGATGTTATTTACCACCCAGTTGTGACTTCTCATCTGGGCCACTGCCCCTGTGACATTTGCTTTCTCTTGACAACTCCAGGCTTTTCCATTCCAGAGCCTTAACATGAGATCATAGAATGGGTCCAAGCTTTACCTCCAGTTGAAACTTAGTGGTCTTGTGAGTGGATCCTGCCACTCACTATCTGTGCAATGTTGTATGAAAAATCTTGTGGGCAGGCTTTTATTTCCTCACCTGTAAAATAGGATCATATCTTTCTTGCAAAAATTGTTGTAAGCAGTATATGTACTCCCATGTTCATAGCAGTATTATAGTTGTAGCTAAAACGTGGAGTATCCACAAATGGATGAATGAGCAAACAAAATGTGGCACACACACACACACACACACACACACACACACACACAAAGTTCTACCTTGGAGAGGAAGGAAACTCTGACATATGCTCCAGTATGGATGAACTGTACTCATATAAGGGCCCTAGAGTAGAGACATTCATGGGGACACAAAGTAGAATGGGGTTGTCAGGGCCTGGCAGTAGAGGAAATGGGGAGTTGGTGGTTAATGGGTATAGACTTTCAGTTCTACAAAGTGAAGAATTCTGGAAACAGATGATGTGGCTGCACAAAAATTAATGTGTTTAACATCACTGACCCTTACACTTAAAATTGTTAAGATTTTATGTGGTAAATTTTATATGATGTGATTTTTGTTATAATAGAAAAAAATTGGAAAAAATTGCTGTGGGCTTTAAATAGCATCAAGTAGGTGATGGGCCTGCTTCTTGATGAGGTTTAATCAGTAGCAACCACTCTTCTATGGTAAGGATATGCTATTTTAATAGTCACATGATGTTTCTTCATGTGACTGTCCCATCGTTTATTTCTTCTCTGTTGGACTTCTTCTAGTACCCCCTCCCCAATAATAATGACACCATGGACTTTTTGTGCATTTATGTATGTTTCCCACTTTGGGATCATAACTTTGGGACAGATTTTCTACATCACTTCATCCAGGTGAATGGGCATCTTGCTGGCTCTGGCCACATGTGCCATGGGCTCTCAGAGATGACTTAGTCACCTTCCCTGCCGCAGACCAAGTGAGGGCACCAAGTTCATTGTGTCCTCAATAACACCCCACATCCTTCTAAGCAGTTTTATAAAATGTAATAAATAATAGATGGTATGTTAATATTTTAAGATGAATTTCTTTGGTCTTACTGCATTTTATGTATCTTGACTTCCATTTACTTTTTCCATCTAGGTGAATAATCTGCTTACATCTTTTGCTTGTATTTCTAGTGTGATTTTAGTGCTTTTCGTACTAAATATGTGTGTCATTGTAACATATTGTGACTTTTTAATGTTCAGGAAATCTTAATGCTTATGTAGTTGAATCTCTCATTTAAACATTTCAAATGACCAAATAAGATTTTAAGGCAGATCAGAATGATTTTACATAACATGAATATTATACCTGCTATATCTTCTTCCTGAGCTCTCTACTATCATTCTTTTCATATCTGTTAGCATAAAATCTGCTTATATGCTAATTTAAATGACTGTTGTGTTTGAAATCATATGGACTGAACCAATTAATAAAAAACTTAATATAATAATGAATTCATAACAATTTAAAGGGGAGGTGACAAAAGTTGGAGCAAAGCAGAAAGTAAGTTTACTAATAAACATAAAATTTATTTTTTACCTGTCTACTAATTAAATTCATCCTAAATAAAACAATTGAATGCCATCTTCCAGTTCGAAATTGCTAAAGATTAAAGACTCCATGAATGGGTTTGTGTGGGCCTCCCACATGCTGCCAGTAGGGGAAGAAATGCAGTCAACTTTACTGAGAAGCAGTCTGGCACCAGGCAGAAATTTAAAAATGTTTATAAACGTTGATTTAGAAATTCTACTTATACAACAATGGCTTGAGGCAGCCTCAGAAGTGTAGAAAAATATTTACATTCAGGGATAAAAATAGGACTCAGGCTAAATGTCCAGTGACAGAGAATGATTGAATAAGTAATCGGACAACCATCTGATGGAGTGTTATGTAGTCATTCTAAATGGTTTTTTAAAAAATTTCAGTGACATGAGGAAGTACTCTACTCACAATATTCTGGTAAGAAAAACTTGCTGTATTACAATTGAACAAATTGTGTGTGTGTGAGTGTACGTGTGAGTGTGTGGGCATATGCATCTAATATTCATCCAGAAAGATCATAACAATATTTATAGTCTTATGTGGCAGGAATATGGGTGAATTTTATTTTTTCTTTTTATGTTTCCCTCATGTTGTCTAAGCTTTACATTACTCATAAATATCGCTTCTACAATTTGAAAGAAATTATATATTTAAAAGATTAAATATAATGAATAGATGTCTTTCCTTTTCTGAACTCATGTTCCTGTTATTCACCTTGCTCCCTGCATCAGTCAGTTTTCCCACTGCTGGAACACAGTACCTGACACCTACAGCTTGAAGGAAGAGAGGTTTAATTGGCTCACAGTTTCCATCTATGAGTGCTGGAGGAACCAAAGCTGCTCAGTTAGTGGTGATGAAACAGAGCTAGGAAGCAGCACCAAGAGAAAGGAGGCAGGGACAAGACTTCGACTTAGACTCCAAGCCCAAGCCCCTGGACCCACCCAGACACACACAGAAGTGCCCCCACCCCCGGCAGACCCCAAAGCCAAGCAAGTGACACTCCATCTGACCCAGCACGCTCTGACTCTAATGTACTGAGTAGGGGCCTGGACAAGAAGTCAGAGGGTGCTCCTCAGATTATGGCCCAGAAATTCACTAGCTGTGTGACCTTAGGTAAACCTAACATTTTCGTCTCAGCTTTCTGGTTTATAAAAGGGTGATTTCTACTTCTGTGTATATAGCATCAGACAGTTTTGAGGGCAAAAGTGAAAAAAACCAACATAGGGGGAAACACTTTTGTAAACTAAGGAGCGAGTTCAGGGTATCCTCAGATAATACTCCTCCTTGATCATCTGCCAGAAGAACCGTGAGAACTCAGCAGAACCTGGAACACTCATGGATAGGATGTATTACAGCTCACAGCTGCTGGAGAGGCAGAAGGCAGTTCCAAGTACTTGTCCTCTCTTCTCCCCTGGGGGCCGCACATATGACCTTCCTGGCATCCATGTGTGACAGTACCAGGGAGGAATGCCCACCAAAGAACTTGCCTAACCTCTGGTGTCCAGAGTTTCTACTGTGGCTCCAATCTCCAGATAGACTGACAGCACGTCATCTAAACCCCGACCCTTGTTCACACGGACCTTTTGGCATGGCCAGCCCACACATGAAGATTTTCAGGGATAATCCTAAAACCCAGTGTGGCCAGCCCCATATCTACCAGATATGATCTCCCAGTACCCAAGGGCAAAGCCCTGTTTCTATTGGATACAATCTCTCAGGGGCCTCTCTTTGGGCAAGGCCAAATTCTTTATTACATATAAGGTGACCAAAAAAGAGATAAAAAGCAAATTTAAATATAGAGATGATGTTAGGAAAGAGGAACCTATTATTTCCTAAGTTCCAAGACTATACAACAGAAAAGGGCATGAATCTACAGTTGCAAGTGGTACTACAAATTTCCACTTCCCCGAACTTGGAACCTTCGGGACGCCCTCCAAGAAAAAGCCTGTTTATGTGGGTTCTGCAGAGACATTTGCTGTGGTTGTTATTTACCACAGAGAGGAATTAGGCTGAGAAAACACTTACCACCCTGCTGGGTATTTGAATCTAACCCTTGCCTCAGTGTTAACAGCACAGCAAGTATGTCTCTCCACTAACTAATTTATCTAATGTGAACTAGTCCAGGCTTCCTTTACAGGCTTCTTGTTCGTGACCCGCCTCGCTCTGTGGTGTAGCTGCGCTTACTCCGTAGAGTGTTGAGTGAAGGGAAAAATGAACAGGCTTGTTCCCCTTTGCAGAGCTGCCATTCTTGAGTGCTCTGTCAAGTTGCGTCTATAAGATTTCATAAGAGTGAGGTTAGAAAAATGAAGGTCCAAGTGTGATTCCCATGCACTTAAAAACATGCCAGTGCACAATGAAGCAGTCGTCATCCCAGGAAGCTCACTGGAGGGTAACTGTGCCTTTCCAAAAAAGAACACACCACAGAGACGAAAGATGAGAGCATTAGCTCAAGTCCAACCATGCTGCTGCCTCCTTTAGAGGGGACAATTTCAGCTTTCATCTGTCGGTGTTTTGAGATCGAATCGCTTGTAGTAAACTGATGTCAGTAAATTTTAGTTGTTCATTCTGTTTCTTTCAAGGAAACACTGGCCATGCAGAAGTCGTCAGGGTTGTGTACCAGCCGGAGCGCATCAGCTTTGAGGAGCTGCTCAAGGTCTTCTGGGAGAATCACGACCCGACCCAAGGTAGAGTGATGAGTGAGCCAGTATTTAATTATCTTACTAATTACAGCTGGGATAATTAGGGTTTGAGCTGCATGGAAGAGATGAACCTTGAAATCACACAGGAGCTCAAGAATATGATTGCAGACATTTATTGACGGAGAAAAGGAGGGGCTGGGGAGAGAGGGAGGTGAGAGAATAAAGGCGCAGCCACGCTCGGCGCCCCTCCCCGCTACAGCTGTCAGGGGTGGGAAAATTCCCACAGAGAAAGCCGCCCGACAATGCAGATCCGTTCACCTTTGATTATTGCATTATTCTTCCTTAATGTAGTCTTTTGTCTACAAAATTAAAGTGTCTTTCTAGCAGCTCCAAACTTTTCCTGATTTATGGTTCCTTTATTTTCCCAAGTTTACCCTTTCTCATCTTTTGACATTATCAGGTTTTTTTTAAATGTCTGGATGATTTAAAAAAGAAGAATACAAAGGTAAAAGACAGTATTCTGTAGGTCCACAATGGTTGGGTTATTTAAATATTTCATTTGTCTTTCCTTGGAATTTGTTATGTGGAAATATTAATATATTTGGACTGTACACAAAGGTGGACAGAGATTTTATTTGCGTGCACACACAAGCAAACAATCTCATGTCAGCAAATATCATTGGGATATTCAGTAATGAACAATTTGCAGATTTCATCCTCACGCTTTACAAGTGCTGCTTTGCCAGTGCGGTGATCTGGTATTATGAGCCTGTGAACTGGAAGCCCTGTCTAATCGGTGTGATTGTGCACAAACCCTCTTCCCTAACAGCCCAGCCAACAGAACCCTTCTCCTTGGCCCCCAGGTCTTTGTGTGGTGGGTCTGCCATGCTGACTGCTTCTTGAGAAGTAGACAGATAACTTTGTTCCAAATGTGTATCGTGCTTGTGCTGAAATCTTAATGTGACCCCGGTGGCACAGATTAGGGGTGGCTCTGGGTGCTGTTTCTGAGAACCATCCGGTGCCAGGGCAGTTTGGCAGAAGGCAAAGGTCAGGGCAAAGGCAAGCACAGCAGAGTGATAGCTTGGCAGAGTCAAGCCCTGGGATGCAGGCAGATCCACTAGGGTTGCTGATGACCAGAGTTCTAGGCTAGGAAGAAGGCCGGGTGGCATTACCATGATGGTATTTGGTTTGACATGGCAGTAGGTTCCCTGGTGAGAAAGTAGGTGGAGGACTGCGGGGACTAGAGCACTGTAACCAGAAGGTACAGGTGTCACTCCAGTTTGGAGCACTGGGCATAGCACCTGAGCAAGGCAGGACTGAGGGCTGGGACAAGAGCTCTGACTGGTACTTGTCATCTCGGGGTGGTGATGGCCAGGAGCTCATGCTGGTAAGTCTTCTATCAGATAAGGCAGACATTCTGCCATTTGGCTGGCAAAGCCCAGGGTCAGAGCAGGAAACTGAGAGCTCCAAAATATTCGGTAGAGATCCACATCGGGAGCCCAGCCAATTCTGTAGCCATGGAGGTGGCAGGCTCCTCACAGCCCCAATCTGTATCTGTGACCTGGCCAACCTGGTAGAATTCCCCAAGGCTTTGTCCCAGCAGAATTTAGTCAGGGTGGCATCTGGCATCGACTTCTCAGTCCTTGCCTCTCTTAACCTCTTACCCATTTGATCATATCTTCATCAGCACGCACCAGTTAATAGGTGGCTGGGCCCCGAACCTTGGGGATTTCCGCTGTAAACAGAATGCTAAAGAAGCTCTTGTGTGCCCCTACCTCACGTACCACATTTGCCTCATCTGTGCCCCAGCCCTCACCCAGCCACCTTGAAGCTCTTGGTTTACTGCCTGAGTACTTTCCTAGTTCCACCATAACAAAGTGCCCCAGACCCAACAGCTTCAACAATAGATACTCATCTCCTCACAGTTCTGGAGGCTGGAGCTCAAGGTCAGGGTGGTGCCAGCAGGTTTTATTTCTCCTGAGGCCTCTCTCCTTGGCTTTCTGGTGGCCAGCTTCTACATCTTCATGCTGTCCTTTCTCTGTATGAGTTGTCTCTTGCTGTCTTATAAGGACACCAGTCAGACCATGCCACCCTAATGACCTTGTTTTACCTTATTTACCTTCTCAAAAACATCAGTCTAAAAATCAGTCACATTCTGTGGTACTAGGGCTAAGACTCAGTATGTGAATTTGGGGGAATCACCAGCTAAGCCCTTGACACTATCCAATAATGTAACAGCTTTATCTGCTTTTTCTCTCCTAGAAGCAGAGTGAGAGTCATTCATAGACTCATCAGCCAGAAGGGATTTTAGAGGTCATCTAGAACACATCACAGACTAGAGCCTTTCACTTCAGTGCTTCCTACATTGTCATCAGTTACTTTTTGAGTAGCTTAGTGTAATGAGCCATGGTAACAATATTTTATTGTCTTACAAGTTTTCCTGTGACCCTTCTAGAATCAGGCTGCATTTCACTGGGCCAAAGGACGTATGCATGATGTAAGCCTTGCTGAATCTCAGTATATTGTCCTACTTTCCCCAGTATTTAATTGAGGGAGTGATCATGTGACCCATGTGGGCCCAATCAGAGTCCTTCCTGGGGCTGTTGCATGAGAAGAAAAGATGTTTTCCCTTTGCTGAAAGATGCCAAAGTGGAGGTGCTCTGTGTGGGGGAAGATCCTGTCTACAGAGAAGCAAGACAAATAAGCACAGGCCGAGAGAAGAGAGGCAAGAAGAGGGATGTTCCTAGAGGCTCCCAGAGCCCTGGACCTCTCCTTCCTGCAGCCCCACCTTCAGTTCTGTGAGCTCTTTTTATAGTTTTCTGGGCTGTGTGCTACCATGGACTCCCCACTGTTTCCCTTTAGATAGGTTGTTCACTTTTTGTTACTTGAACAACAAAAATCTGAACTCATCCAACTTAATCACTGTGCTCATTATATTAATGACTGTTAACAGGATTAATTTGGGTGTGTAAATCAGAGGTCTAAACCATTTGGAATCTTACTATCGATTCACATGTGGAAAGCGAGACATTAAAAAGTGTTTCTCTAAGACCTGTTGGTGGCTGATTAGAGTTTCCTTCATAATTCAAAATCAAGAACTGGGGTTTAGGACTTTGGGTATATTGCCTGAAAACCTCTTATATACAAAACCCACTCTTGATGTCTCTGAACTGCTGTGAAAGACAGTCTTGGAGGTGGACATTGTGGGGATGGGATGGGATGGGAATCTGAGGATGCAGGGAAATGGGAATGCAAGGCGGGGGGAGGGAAGTAAGATGATTGAGAGGCGGTATGTTTAGGTGCCAGTTCCCCAGGGTGAGTGCTATTGTTATGTGTGGTAAACAAATACTAATAAAAAAGGAAGATAAAAATATTCCAGAGGAAAAAAGACAGTCTTCATTAAGGACATTTATCTGTGTCTCCTCTGTCTGCCAGGCAGAGGTGTGCTAAATCACCAAGTGGTCTGGAATATACAGGGGTATACTGGGTAATGCACCGGGAAAATATATTCCTACGCGCGCACACACACCCACACACACACACGATTCAGTATAGTGAGATCAAATGAACATGCAGACAAATGCAGTTGAGGCCAAAGATGAAGATATTAACAGGAAATCATTAGGAAAAATGTGTCAGCACTGGAATGTTAAAGCAAACACATAAATTCAGAGGAACTCTGGAATCAATGGATTTAATTTTCTCAGGGAATCCTGCAAGTCCAAAATGTGTAGTCACATGTCACTCTTCCAAGGTCAAAATTTGAAGCCCACCCCCTGAAGGATGGGCAAGAGTGAGCTGGGCTGTGAATGAACCTGGCCAACTCTTGTCACATGAGCCAGTGAGAAGTGGTCTTGCAGCCACCAATAGAGCAGATAAAGTGGTAAAGATACGTACAACTGACCGTACTTATTCAAAAAAGGGCATTTCAAAGAGAGCAAGATATTGCATTTGGGTGACTCTGATCTCTGAAGCAATAGCCCCCTCAAGTTTCTTGCAAGAAATGAGGGCAAGCGATTCCTAAAACCACTTGAGGAATACTCTTGCCTGTGCTGGAAATGCTTATCAGCAAAAAGACAAAATTTGAATAAAAATTGAGAAGGCCTTGACCTTTGATATGAAGATGTGCCCAGGAAACATGTGATTCCCCACAGAGATATGACTCAAGAGAATGTATTTTAATCAGCATGTTGGAAGACGTTAGTACCTTATTGATAAAATCACTAAGGACTTGAAGGGGCCGCTTACATTTTTCAATTGTGATTTCTTGCATTTTGTGGCAGAAGCAATGTCCTAGAACGGTATCTGCAAATGTGGGAATTCTTGCTAATGTCAAGGGTCTGACTCTAGTAGAAACAGGAGGAACTTAAGTTTAAAGTCACCTTTCAATCAGATCAGATCTTTGTGGTGCAGACTAAACAGACAATTATGTATGGTCTCACTGCTACTAGGTACTGAAACAGCTCTCATGGTATCTGTCTCATGGGGTGGGACAAAGTACCGGATATAACTCCTTAGTAGGAGAGAAATAGGGAATCTAGACACCTTAAGATGCACTGGAGCCAGAGACCTGTCTCCCCATAGCCATTGTGAGCCTGGAAAGAATGCCTCTCGGGATCAGCTTCAGGTGAAGGAGAGATCCACAACCATCATTATACATTTGGTCGGTAAATGCAATAGAATTTCACCTTAATTTACCAGCTACCGCAAAACCTCTATGTTTGCTATAACATTTAAGAGCCACTGTTTGTAAGCTCATAATCCTGTTCTGGTTTTTCATCTCACTCATGGGACAGATATAGTTCCCTGCCCTGCTGATAACTGATTAGAGCATGTCCCTTCCTGACCACATGCCCCACAGACTCCTGCTGTCCCCAAGCAATATGGCAGAGCCAGAGGTTTAGAAGTCTTGGGTTCTCATCTAACAAAAAGTGATAATACGGTAATATCTATATCCCTATTTCATGGGTTGTCATAAGACTTAAATAAAATAATGGTAGGGTACCATGCAAGTGCCAGGTGTTGTTGTTATGTCTTTCTCAATA